CTGATCCACATAACATGTATGTATATATGTATGTATATATATATATGTATGTATATATATATATATATATATATATATATATATATATATATATATATATATATGTATATATATATATATATATATATATATATATATATATATATATATATATATATATATATATTTGGTGTGTGTCTTTGCTAGACTGAACTTGCCTATGCTTTTATACTAATGTGTTTATCAATCAAATCTTAACCACAATCACCACCATTCTCCACCACCAGCATCATCGACACTACTCACCACCACTACCACCATCCGCACCACCACTATCATCAGCACCACAGACGTATACACTGTTACCATCACTGTAAAAATACCAGAACAACAACAAACTATCAAATCGTACTTAAGCAAATTGGGTAAAACCCGGCCCGCTTCCTCCAGTCTGAAGCGTGTTGACACACGTTTACACTGGCTTCTTTTACAGGTATGTAAATGTAAGCGTTTATTTTGGTACACACGGAGGTGAATAGTGGTACACAAGGTGTGTGTGTGTGTGTGTGTGTGTGTGTGTGTGTGTGTGTGTGTGTGTGTGTGTGGTGTGTGTGTGTGTGTGTGTGTGTGTACTGTAGCACACACAAGGGTATATTGTGGGACTTACGGTATGTGGTGGGTATTGTGCCAAACGTTGCTGGCTGACAAGTGCAAATAGTGCTGACCAGACCACACACTACAAGGTGAAGGGACGACGACGTTTCGGTCCTGGACCATTCTCTAGTCGATTGTGAGAATAGTCCAGGACGGACCGAAACGTCGTCGTCCCTTCACCTTCTAGTGTGTGGTCTGGTCAACATACTTCAGCCACGTTATTGTGACTCATCGCCTGCATATAGTGTTATATGCTGCAAACTGACAAATGTATAAAATGCTTTTCACTGTCGGCTGACCAGTGCACAGCCGACCGTGCTGGTCAGGATAACTAGAGGGATAGATAACTGGTGTTTGGATATCTAGATGGAGGGTTAAATAGTGTTTGGATAACTAGAGGAAAGCCCAGCTGGTGCTTGGATAACTATGTGGGATGAACAGCTGTTGTTCGGATAGAGAGATAAACAGGCGCAACTACACAAAGAAATCACATTAACGTGATATATCACTAATAAAATCATTAGGTGGCATGAGAGGGATTCGAACCCCTGTGGCTCTGGGTACTCACAAGCACACGCCGCCTTAGCTATCATCCAAGAAGTCTACGCGTTAATGTGATTTGTTTTTCGAATCCTTCTCATAACTCCTACTGATTTTCCCAATAATAATAATATTTTTCTCGCGTAAACACACCGAAAATCTGTGTTATGTAGCTGAGTACTTGCCCAGAAATCCGCTCTAAATCCTTTAGCGGGATTACAATGAA